AGCAGGAAGGTGAAGGGAAAGGACATAATCGCTGACCTGCTGGATAGCAGCTGCATCGGTGTCTGGATCTATAAAGATTACAAAGGAAAGTCAGATAAAGAGCCCATGAGATTATATCTTCCATTCAATTCCATAGCAAGCATTCACATTATACAGAAGTTGTCATAAAACCTAGGAGTTTAAATCAAACCAAATGACATAGATATTGGATAGTTAGGAGCAGCCAAGTCTATTTCTCTTCTGAACAAAGAAATAGGCCAAGTCTTGGCAGATACTGTTACTTAGCCATACAGAAAGCTCAGCCTTTCTGTGGTGACTCAGGTTACAAAGACTTTCCAAATGTGGATAAATACAAATTATTTTTGGGAATAAAACAACTAGAAAGTTATTTCTGTATCTAATTTGGATTTGTAGAGTATGTTGGATTTGTAGAGTAAGTATGTTGCACTTTTTTCAAAGCCAAAATGGACAAGAACATGTGGGGAGCCTGAGAGGAGAATGGCATTTAGGAGAGTTAGGAAGGATACAGATCCTGCCATTATAGACAAATTACATGCTTGACATTAAAGTGCATAAGAAACCCTTGACAGTCTTTTATTTTCTTAATATGAAAACAGTTTTAGGAAGATGTGATTTGAGTGGAGGGACAGCACTACACCGCACTGATTCTTAGTTCAGAAGTGAAGCTGGATCTTCAAGCAAAAACACACAAAACCACTAAAATCTTCAAAATACTTGTGAACTTCTGAATGCCATTTAATAGGAGACAAACTAGGGGAGGCCTCCTTGCCTGCTCATGAGCTTACCAGAAGCATCTGGCTGGCTACTGTTAGAAACAGGATGCTGGACTAGATGAACACTTGCTCTGATCCAGCATGGATCTTCTTGTGTTTCTTATGGAATTGGATTACTTCTGCTGTGATTCTTTACCACTGTGCCATTACCCATGGTCCCCATGGAGTTAGAAAAGGCCCGCAGAAGAAAGGGTAGGGCATTGTCTCAGTGGTAAATAATCTGCTTTACATGCAGAAAATCCCAGGTTGAATCCTCAGCATCTCTGGCTAAAAGAAATCAGATTGTAGCTGTTATGAAAGACCTGTACCTGAGATCTTGGACAGCTACCACCAGACAAACTATATGACCTGGATAGATTCAGGATCTGGCTCAGTATAAGGCAGTTTCATGTGTCCATGTGACCAAAAGAAACCCCAAAAGGTACAATGATTTGGTTACTGTTTAAGGACTAGGCCATATTGTCCCCTCATTAACAACACTAAGTTGTCTTGGTCATGACTCCAATAAGTTATGCAGTTACCTGAAATTAACATAAATAAAAACTACCTGATCTTCTGGGTATGGAACAGGGGTCAATGGGTGTGTGGGGGAAGGTATCTGTGAATTTCCTGCATTGTGAAGGGGGTTGGACTAGATGACCCTGGAGGTCCCTTCCGCTCTATGATTCTAAAGACGTTGAGTTATCCTGAATCAGACCAATGGTCCTGCAACATCAGTGTTGTCTATTCAGACTGCCAGGAGCTCTCCAGGGTCTCAGGTAGAGGTCTTGCCCATCACTTACTTCCTGATCCTTTTAACTGGAAATGTCATGGACTGAACCTAGGACTTTCTGCATGCCAAGCAGATGTTCTGCCACTGAACCACAGCCCCTCTCCAATTTGCAAATGTTTTTTCCCTAATTCACATGTATTTAGTTCAGATTCACAATGGACAACAGAAGCCTTTATTAAATTTGGTCTAATGGCAGTATAGAGCTATTTAAAATGTCATGGGTGTACAGTCAAGATTTGAATCGATGCAAAAAATATAATGCCAAGAGACTTCCATCTTGCGAGACATGTAAGCTAAACTTTTGGAAGCAGTTCTAAGCTTAGCATGTCCTTTCTCTAAACTACAGAAGCATATTGCCTTTCTATTTCTCATGAGATGTGGCCTTGATTTGAAAGAGAGTTCCAGCATGTTTTAAGTGGAACACAGGAAGTAGCCCACCTGATAACCTTTTGAATAAAGCTTTGAGCACGACTGCTATTATGCAGAATAGATTCTATTTCAGTACAGAGGAGGGAAATCAGACAATGGTCAGAAAACATTGTGTATGAACACATGTATAAAAAGGTAGGACTGCCAACATAATGCCGTTTGTCAGAGTTGAAGGGATTATATTGTAATATGCAGCCTTAAATAGTTCCTAAAGTTTTAATCAATTAATTGGCCTAATAAGTGGTACAATTTCACTTGTTCTGTGCTGCTCAACACAAAACCAGTAATTTTAGAGAAGGGGATCTAATGGCAAGGAGTAATTTGCCTAAAAACCACACAGGAAGTCTGTGGAAGAATAAAGAAATAATGCTACAACTGACATAATCTGTTTTATTCAAAATAAAATTGGGGGTATTGTGGCCCAGTAGCACCCATAACATAAAGCACTGAACACGTGGCCTGCCACATAGGTATAATAAAAGCATAATGTACTGTACTACAAACATATAAGATATTAAGATCTCAAATAAATGCAAGGCTGAGAGCAATTAAAAAACACCCATTTGTGTGTGTGTGTTTGCGTCTATATATTAATTTATGACTTTAAAAGATTAAAGTACGTTGTTGGTTTTTTAAAAAAGAAAGGAAGTGTACTATGTAGTATTTTTTAAAAGGTAATTAAATCTCTAAAAAAACATTTTAAAGTCATTAAATAAGATGATGAGCTTTCCTCTAGACTTCTGTTTAGTTGATAGCATCAGCTAAAGATGCCTCTTTGGGTGCTATTGATCGCTAGAAAATGCTTGCTTAAATGAACAGTGTTGTTGTTTTTAAGAATAGTTGGTTGCTGCTAGCTTGCTTGTGTGCAGCCTAGAGAGAAAATGTTTACCAGCTAGAATGAAGCCAAGGCAAGAGACAGAAGTCTCGGTTTTTCAGCTGGGGGGTAGTGTATGGGGGAAGGGGTTCCTGAGGGCAAACTATCTAGTTTTGTTCAGTTGTCACTGCTATAAAGACTAGCATTGGCTTACCTGGGTGCCTGCCTCTTCCTCATGCTCAATTTGCAATTTGCAAAGAAACAGATTCCACAGAAACACAATATGTTTCTAGTACTTCCTTACAAGTACAATGACCTGTGGAAAAGATGCCCCTGGAACTTCTTAGAGGTCAGGGGAGCTCAGCATTTTCACAGCATTGAGGGGAAAAGTGAACACACAAAATGAAAATATACTTGTCATTGCAAAAGCCAAGTTACACTAAGGTTCTCAGGTACCCACTGGAGGTGAAACATCTCCCACTCCCAGTTCCCATTGCTTGTTGCCATTCTGGTGGCTGGCTTGAGAAAGATAAAGTAATTAAATAAATAATAAAGGTGATTTCTTGAAGTATATGACATCACGCCAACAGAGCCCCCATGTCTGCAGTCCCCACTTATATAACGCATACATATCCCAACATGCCCAGCTCTGACCCATCTATGAGGAAGTGTTTACTTATATGCATGATCATTGGGTCAGTATCCCTTATTCTCAAGGGATAGGACAGCAGGCATCACACATGTCAAATAAATCGTGGCCTTTGGGATAATTTCCATTTTGAAGTGTTTGCAGCATGTCTATTTGTGGTTATTGCAGTTGTTTGGGTTGGACACTCCATCCTCCAGCTTCTATCCGGTTATTGTCACCACCATATTTAGATACATGTTGCTTTAAATACTGCCTTCTGACCTTACCAGAGAGAAAGTTGCGAACTTGGCGGATAAACTGCTGAGCACGTCGGATGTCTCCATCTATCTGTGTCCTGGTTGTGCTCATTTTGTCACCCAGACTTCGGGCACTTGTTTGGATCTGGTTGGCAGCTACTTCAGCAGATCTTATCTGTTAACATGGCAAGCAGAGTCAGTGTCCATAGGATATTTAATTATTTATTTATTCATGATTAAATTGGCTTTTGTCCTGAAAAAAGAAGACCCTAAATGGAGTACAGGACACCCTTAAAACTTCTACTACTAATTGCAGGGGTGTCGTTCAACAGGATTCTCTATTCCCTGTTTCTTGGCCTCCCTAACCAACCTCAAAGTAGGGCCTGGAGGTCTCCTGGAATAGTAGCTGACCTCTAGACTACAGAAGTTAAGTCTCCTGGAGAAAACAGCAGCTTCAAAGCACGGACTCTGGAGTATCACATACCCACTGAGCTCTCTCCCCAAATTCAACCATCCCCAGAAACTGCTCCCAGATCTCCAGGAATCCCAGGCCAGAGTTGGTAACTCAACCCATTCCTCAGTTACCTGCCTTCTATCACTAGGGGTGGGGGAGAGCTAATTTTCAAAAAGAAGCATTGAAAAGATTTATGGGATTTTTTAAAAAAGAAAAGGAACAGAGCTGTAATCATCACCACACAGCAGCAAAGTATTCTTTGAGGTTTGTACAATTCCAGTGTGGCATCATGACCCCTTGCATTACGCTCATTTACAGGGCAATGTTATCATGCCATTTGCTCCACACACTGCAGTTTGGTACAGGAGAGATGAAGCCTCAGATTGGTTGCTGAATGACTGACATTCAGCAATTGTGCTAGTACAGATGTACAACAATTCAAACTAAAAAGTTACATAAATTGGGATTAGATTATAACAAGTGGAGACCCACAAGAAATTTGGGGGATGGTTATTCCATTTCTCACACCTTTGCTTCCTCCCCTCTCCCTCCCTCACACTCTTTCTCCCTTCTGTTCCATCTTTTCTTACTCTCTCTCTCTCCTCCATGCATGTTACTTTATCCCCTCATCATTCTCTTTCTTTTTCTGCCTCCCCACCTCATCACTTTTTCCCTTTCTGCCCCCATCACTCTCCCAGCCTCCTGCCTGTTTCCTCCCCTATCCCACACAGTGGCAGCGGCAGCAGCAGCAGTGGCAGCACTCTGGGAATCACAATGGATCTCCCAGCTACAGTAATCAATTCACCTTAGGGCTGCCAGCTCCAGGTTGGGAAATTCCTGGAGATTTGGGGGTGGAGCCTTGGGACAGTGAGGCTTGGGGCCAGAAGAAGCCTCAGCAGGGTATAATGCCATAGTCTCAACCCTCCAAAGCAGCCATTTTATCCAGAGGAACTGATCTCTGTCACCTGGACAACAGTTGTCATTCTGGGTGATCTCCAGCCCTCACCTGGAGGCTGGCAATGGTAGTTCTTGAAAATGGCTGGATTGGAGGGTGGTGTCATTATACTGGTCTGAAGTTCCTCACCTCCTCAAACCCCACCCTCCCTAGGCTCCACCCCTCAAATGTCCAGGAATTTCCCAGCCTGGAGTTGGCAACCGTATTTCTTTCCCACCCAACAGCCAACCTATCTTTATCTGCCTTAATCTGTCTTCAGCTTTCCATCTCCACCCCCTCCTCCACAGTCTCTACCTAGGAAAATCACAGTCTTCACCACTATGGGGACCAAAGCAGCTTCTTTATTCTCTCCTCCTTTTTATCTGCACAACAATCCTGTGAGGTTGGTTAGGCTGAAAGTATGTGACTGGTCCAAAATCACCCAGTACGCTTCCACTGCAAGATGGGGATCTGAATCTGGGTCTCAGAGACCTTAATCTGAAGCTCTAACTAATGGCTAACTAGTGGCTGCTAATGAACAGTAGCAAGCAGCCGGGCCTATTTGAGTCATGCAAATCAGGTGGCATCAAGTCACTCAGAGGGTGCTGCCTAGGGATGCCAGCCTCCAGGTGGGCCCTGGGGATCCCCTGGAATTGCTGCTCATCTCCAGACTACAGAGATAACTTTCCATGGAGAAAATGGATGCTTTGGAGGGTAGACTCTATGGCATTGTAGCTCACTGAGGTCCCTGCCCCCCCCAGGGTCCACCCCCAAATCTCCAGGAGTTTCCCAACCTGGATCTGGCCACCTTACCCCCCATCTCCTGCTGGTGGCCCGGGGAGACCTGGCAACCCTAGACTGCTACCAGGCCAAGGGGTGCCACCACCAAGTGGGACCTGGAGACGCCTCAGAATTACAACTGAACTCTAGACAGCAGAAACTTGTCTCCCTGGAGAAAATGGCTGCTTTGGAGGGTGGATTTTGTGGCATTATATCCAGCTGAGGCCACTCCCTTCCCTAAACCCACCCCTCCTCCTTAGACTCCACCACAAAACCTCTAGGAATTCCCCAGCCTGGCACTGGCAACCTCTGTCAGGCCTGGCCCCAAGGCTCCCTCCCTCAAAGGCCAAAATAGGCTTGGAATGTACACTCCCCTCTCCCCCTGCCTTTTACTGATGGAGCCAGTTACAAGCGCCCCCCCCACCCATGTTCTAATCTCTCACCATTGATTCCTGGAGTAAGTGGCTCCTGTGGAGGCCATTTCAAAAGGTATGGGGGGGGTCAACCCTCCCCAAGTTTTGTTTTTTGTTTTGTTTTTTGTTTTTACTTTTTGGATTTTTCTGCAGACCAGAGAGTCCTCTGAGCCTGTAGAAAAAGCTGTTGGGGGACAGTGAGCCCTCTGTTGGTGGAATTATCCACACAGAAAACAGACTTCGCTATTAGATATATAGATTACAACTGAAGATATCTGTTCCATGTTACATTTCATGACCATCATATTTACAAGTTCAGAGAACATTCACAATACACAGCATGCATTCTCCCTCACCCTCACCCAATTTCCCCCACCTCAACTCTGTTCTGAACACCTACCATCTGTGTGGCCTCCTGTAGTCGAATGCTTAACTTATGGATCTCTTGGGCAGTTTTCCTGGCAGTTTGGATGGAGCTGCCAGCACGCAAGAAGATCCCTCTACAATCAAAACCTGGGCCACATTCTGTAGCATTTTGCTGAGGACACAATTCTCCAAGACATTCTCCAGGACTGCAAGTCTCTGATCTGATGCTGTTGCACATCTAAACAAAGAAGCCACAACATCAACTGAGCTATGCAATCAACAGGACAAAAATCTCAAACAATTCAAGGAGCTAAAAATCTTAACATGGTCACAAGGCCATTTTATTTCATACATTGTCATTGGGAGCCTTTGGGGTTTACACATATTTAACTGCTTGTGTTCATAATCCACTGGTTACTTTTATACTAGTTCAAGCTGTTTATTAAACTGACCCCAAATTAACATTGAACATTGTGCACATTTAATGGGAAAGATTCACCATGAAGTAACAGAAAATGGTATGAAAAATAAAGACTTATAGATGGGGGTGGATTGGTCATTAAGGGAAAGTCCTGAGTAAATAATGCTGAGTATATAATCTTGAACAGAAGAAATACTGCCATAGCAACAATCAAACTAAGCACCCAAAGAGAGAAGAGACCACACCCTGCTAAATTTCTGCCTCAGTTTCCAACGTTACTTGGATACATATGAGGTGGAGTCCTGGAGTTTCAGAGGTAACTAGAATTGCTGACATCCCTACCACCCCACCCAATACATTCGTTTTCATTTGAAAACACATCTTGAAAAAAAAAGAAAGATGAGTGGTTGGTGATTTTCATGGCAACAGATGTTGGTATGAGTCTCCATGGCAATATCAGAACAACAAAAATGAAGAATAAAAATGAGAGACCTTGGCTAATAACGAGGGGTCGTTTTGTAGAAAAAGAGCTAGGGGAACTCATTAGCATAACTCATTAGCATATGCCACACTCCCTGACATCACTGGAAGTGTGTCATAAGGCCACACACCCCACCCCCAACGGTCCCGGCCGCCGGCGCTGGCCTTGCAGCTCCACTGCCGAGCCCCATGAAGGGCCCGGCGGTGGACCTGCAAGGCTGGCAGGAGTGCAAGGAAGCCCCGCGAAGACCCTCCCTGGCCCCAGGCAGGCAGGGGTGGGGAGAGGCAGGGAGGAAGCAACTTACCCTCCCTCTTCTCCTGCCTCCTCCTGGCTGAATGAGGGCCGGAAGCGGGGCGGCCAAAAGCAGGGGGCGGGGCTTCATCATGTGCCCCCCCCCCGGTCCCTCCCCCGGGGGAACTGCGATCCCCCCAGAAATGACCTCTGCTAATAACATCTACAGCCACTTAGTTCTCAGTGAGAACCATGAGGAACAAATTTCATTGGTTACCAAACAGAACAATAAGAAGTTTAGCAAGGCTCAAGCTGAGGTTACGTTAATTTCACCTTATTAATAACTGGAGTCAAGTTTGGAGAGAAGGCCAATTCTCCCTGCAGAGCCTCCAATCCTGAGCCATGGTCTGTAAGACCGCTTTCTAGCTCCTCGGTTTTTTCCCTGTTTTGCATGGATTGAGCCAGCAGCCTAGAAGATCCAGCTATGCGCATGCTGGCGTTGGAAGACGTCTGGTGCGATGAGCTGACAGTCTTGAATGACATTGTGGGAGCAAAGAAAAACGCAGTACGCAGTATGAATGGCTCCGTGACTCATAAATGCAGCATTATTTCCCAAACTCTCGATACTTAATTTTACCTGGAGGTGGGGGGGGGGGACGGAAGGATGTACTAGAGCTGTGAATCACAAGAATGTCAACAGAAAAGTACTCGTCAATCACCTTTCACATCTACAGTCTCCATTTGTAATGAATTTTAAAAAGAATGCATCGAGGCAGAAAAAAGAGATGGGAACCGGATATACATGACACAAAATGGAGTGCCTGCTACATCTGGCTCCATGTGGCCATTCTGTCATATCTCCCTCCATTAGAGCCAGGAAAGGAGGCATTCTTGAAGCTGCTGCAGTAATTAATCTAACAATTCAATCCAACTGGAATGTTCCAGCATCAAATTGAATTACGTCTTAAATAAGAGCAAACAGATTAGCCAATGGCTTAACTATGACAATGTTGTGGAAAACCCTGACACAATATTTGCAATTTCTTTACTATCCCAAGTTAAATTTCAATCTATCTTGGGTGAGCCAAATGTCTCCCCCCCACACACACACACACATCTGGTTTTGATAGCATAAGTCAATGGGATGTAACCAACAATCTATGAATGGAATGGGAAGTTGTCCCATATTACTCCTTGTTCTACAGTCCCTCCCAGTCCCAGGAAACATCATTCTGGGACCTGTGTGTAGGAATAGTTGCACTGGGTGGTGGTGGCTAGAGTGTGCTTCCTCTTTTGCTAGCACATTTCCACTAAAGAAAGTGGGCGATTTCATCCCCTCATCCCCCTCACTCTAGCCTCCCTACCCAAATGGTTATTCATCCATAACCCAGGAATGACTTTTCCAGGGCTGGAAGGAATGCAGGATCAGAGAAGAACGTAGGAAAACTCTATGTGCTTTCCGTACATAGGTGGTTAAGCTATAGGTCAGTGAGATGGGTGTCGGGGGGGGGGGTGCTTTCCATTTTCCAAAAACATAAATTTACTGGGGGGTTTTAATATACCCGGAAAGATACACACTTCTAATTAGTCAGCAAGAGGCCTAGAGTGATTTCGGAGTGACCTTTTCCCCTCCCCCACTAAAATCATTTCAGTGGATTCCCTTGCTAGTGTGTTTCAAAATTCCCTAACCCTGTTTCAGACACCCACAACCTGGATACACATTTTGACATGTGGAGGAATGTTTCATTTGTTTAAATTCTCCCCTCCCTTGCTTTCATATTTAATAACTTCATTTCAGAGAAAAGGTTGGTAACCCTACAGACAAATCATCAAGGCCTCAAGCAAACATTCGACTGAGCTTTGTTTCCTAGGTTGTGACAAGAGTTCTCCTCTCTCACACCCATCACAATAATAGAAGGCAGACAAATACAACTCAATCTCTCTATGAACAACTACAGTGATATTCAATTAGGAGTAAACCCTTGTGAACTCAAGAACTTTTATCCTTTACAATTAAAAGCGCACTAATTGCAAAAATGTGTTTCAATAACCTGGTAGATACTTTGTGTGTGAGTGTGCCTGTGTGTTTTAAGCTCACATGAATTTAAAACCATAAACCAAGATTCTAAACTGGAATTAAACCAAGGCTCCACACCCCAGAATGAGGAGAGTAAACAAACTCCAGTTCAGCAAGGTGAAAGTGTTTGGATATATTGACAAACTGGAACTTGATCAGGCACTGAAGCTGTGGATCCAGTTCCGTGTGCAAAGGGAGATGAGAGGAGCAAGAAAAGTGCATGAGCAGTTTGTTGTGTCATCTGAGTGCAACTTTGGCTGATGTTCTTCCTTTTTTTAACAGCACTACAGTATGTTGCACTACAGTATTTGCAACCGGTTTGCCTTGCCCACACAGGACAATCCAGTTGTGAACAACTCATATAGGTGCAATATCATGCTGTGCATAGACACAGCCAATGAGACTGGTGTATGGAAACATTAATGGTACCTCTACTTTACAAGCAAAACTATTATTACTAATTTCTTTCTTAAAGGGCATTTTCATACATGAAACTGCAAGAAACTCTCTGAACTTCCCATGTGTGAATGCTGTTAATATGGGACAGAAAGTGGAAGAGAGACATCTTGAAATAAAAAGATACATTTTTGCCAGCATAAATTTCATTTGTGGTCCACAGTCATAGAGAAAAGCATTGAATGTTATTATTTATGTATTTATTTCTTATCAAAAATACTCAAGGCTAGAGACAGACAACAGTTTTGAAGATAGGTGACGGCTGAATGGTTGCCCTTGATGCAAACAACTCATTTGTCTGATGGTAAACACTACCCCCCCCCAAAAAAAAGGGGCACCACTGTGGAGACAAAAGTTTGATCTTTTTTTGTAGCCATGAGAAAAGACATCCATAATCTACCTTCAACCCTAAATGGTTTACAGTTTTATAGAGATAAAACACTGCCTGTGGATTGGTCAGAGTTTCTTCCAAGAGATTTTAGGAAATATAGTTTTGTAAGAGTGTACAGAATACTCCCAAAGTTCATTCATTCATAGTGCTGCAGTCTTCAAGGATTATCACTGTTCTGACCTGTTTTCACTGTGGGACTGTAAAAATGAAATGTGAAAGACTGCCATTTCTGAGCTCTTAAAGAGACTGCCATACAATTCTTCACTATCTAAGACAGGGTTCAAAAGTATCAATATGGACCTCTTTTAAAATCAAGCATTTGCCCCCATTCACAGCAGTTGAACATCCACCACAAATCAAGAAAAGAAAATACCTGACAAATCTGTACTGCGACTAGTTTCAAACTGGGCTTTCTTATTTTGGTATTCTGTGGTAATCAGAAGCAGGCTTCTAGCAAGAGCATCCATGTCTGTGGTTAAGGAGGAGATTTCATCCATAAGAGGTATCTCATATCTTAAACCCGCAAGGGTCTGCCTGAAATCATACAACAAAACACATACTTATGGCACAGGCAGGAGAAAGTGGTGTGCGAGCTAGGAGCAGCAGCACCCCCACACACACACACACACATGCATGGAGGACTACCTGCGCCACAAGCTGCAGGTGGGCAAGAAAAAGAGCAGAGCTTGAGCGATGCCCAGCAACCCCTACAGCAGGAGGAAGGGGGAGCAGATAGGACAAGTCCTCTCACATGTCAGCATGTTCCTCCCCCCACCATGTCAGAAGCAGCTTCTCACTCTCTGTTTCTCTCAACCCCACTCTGCCCATGTTAGCATTCTGAAGCCAGTATCCTACTTTTCTAGACTAAAGGGTTTGAGCTTGAGGCCTATATTTCACCAGCAAGGTGTTCCTGAGGTGTTAGATGAAGGGGGGAAAGCATAGCAAGCACACTGCCCTACAGAATTCTTAATTTAAACAAACAAAGGCTGAAGTCACAGCCTATATTTCACCAGCAAGGTGTTCCTGAGGTGTTAGATAAAGGGGGAAAAGCATAGCAAGCACACTGCCCTACCGAATTCTTAATTTAAATAAAGGCTGAAGTCACGGTAAAAGGCGAGACAACTGATTCAAACCCATAATCAGTTCTACTGTATAACTTAATTTGCAAACTATTTTACAGTCTGTACCCTGGAAAAAACTGAGGTGTGTCATTCATATTCTCATTTTCTACATGAGGAAATAGAAGATAGCCACTTTCCTGAAGATAGCCAGTAACTAAAGACAAATTCCAGACCATGTTCCCAGCTCATGTGAAAAATACTTTTAGTAGTAATACACATGGGGCTCTTTTCTGCATACCATGGGCATCTAGTGTTAACAGCTGCAGCTGGCAACTCAGCAGAAGATGCTGTGGGATTGGGGGCAGGGACAGTCATTTCTTGTGCAAAACCAGAAGTGATATCATCATGTTGGGGCAACACTCTAGACTTTGCCCCCAACTCTATGGTTAATTTGATACCAGCAGGCCCCCCAATTTTTCTCCTGCCAGTTTGTGAAGCAGCTGCAGGGAATGGGAGCCAATGTCAGCCACAGGGCTAATGCCCTGTAGGCATCCCTTATTTATCGCAGGTAAAAAGTAAGAAAACACGGTTTACCGGAGTGTAGCAATTGTACTGGCCACCTGATCCAGTCCCTGCTTTGTTATAAGAGGATTTCCCAGGATCCCTTGGATGTGCTGAACTTCACTTTCTGCTTCCAAGAGGCGGGTACTGAAGCCAGAGCTTAGCGTTCCCAGTTGTAGCCGCTGTGTGGAGTTTTTCAAGGTGGCCTGGCGCAAACCAAACCTATCGATGTCCTCATCATAAGCCTGGAAGCAGGGGTGGCATGCCTCACAGCTGTCATAATTGCCACAGTAACCTCGCTGACACTGGTCACAGCGGGCTCCAGTAAAGCCAGGGTGGCATAGGCAGCTGCCTGTCAGCTTGTCACAGCCCACCTCCTCTGTGCCCCGGAAATTACAGTCACATGCTATTGAGGGGGAAGACAAAGAGAAAGGCATGAAACTCTCAAAAATGTTTAAGTGGCTTGCTGGTGGTAGACTAACAGTGTACCCTAAGCAAAGGTATACCCTTCTAAGGCCCAAACTATGTTCCTTACAAGTTACATGTAATCACCACAGGGACTTGCAGCAGGATGCAAGCTGTGAGTTTTCCATGGGATCTCAATTCTGAAGCACTTCAGGGGTCCAATTTGGATCAGGACCATGGCACGGGGCAGAAGGGGCTGTGCCATTTTCCCAACTTGAAAAGCTTCGTTGGGGAAGGGGCTTTACTTGCCCTGTGAGGGGAGCTGCATGTGCAATTATTGCACATTTTTTACAACAGTAATATTTGAGGTAAAAAAAATTGTTATGTGAAAGTGTTACACTGTTATTAACATCAAATAGAATAAATGACTGCTTATAAGATATATATCCCCAGAGCCTCTGTGACATTTATCTTGCTCTTTCAGAAAAGGTAAACCAGGCTGCTAAGAAGCAGGACAGGTTTCAAGTACAAAAGAAGGGAAGCAGAAGGAAAAGTGTCCTTCGTGTATAACAAGGCCGAGTTCAGACTGACAGTTTGCCCCGATATAGGCACGAGCCAGAAACGTTTCACAAACGGATTAAAGGGGCCGTTCACACAGGTACATCTGTCAGGCGTTCCCCAGCCGTACTCAACCCGTCTTGTAATGCTTCCCTCCCGAAGTTAAAAGATACCAGGTGAAGTGGTATCAAACCCTAGAAAGTGTGATTATCCCACATCCATCCCACTTCCCAGAAGTGTGAATGCGAAAAGCCACGATACGGTAGGGGTGTGCTTATGCGCATGAGCGCACATAACCGGATGACCAGAAAAAGCCGCTTACAGCTGCGCCTCTGGGCCAACAGTGTGAACGCTCCCTTACCCCTCCTCCCTAGTATGCTCCCACATCAGTCGGTGCAGTGTGACTGGGAAAACCCGGAACAGTTTGTTCCGGGTCTTTTTTGCCACAACTCCCTCCTGCTTCAAACTGCCAGTCTGAACTTAGCCCAAGTTTCCTTGTTTCACAGTTCCACAGGAGACACTCCTCACAACTCCAGAGATATCAAGCAGTTCCAACATTCTGCTCTTAAAATTGTTTTCAAAACACTATCCTGTGCAATAATAAGGAAAACTTAAACAGGCCATATCAAGAGGGCAGGGGAGCAGAGTTGCAATGGATATATGGCAAGACGTGGAAGAGAAAAAAACTACCAAGTATCAACAGCAAGGTCTTGGGCCTATGTAAAGGAACCAGGTGGATGCAACCTGTATCCCTTACCTCTGCATCCTGTCCTGACATCTCCATAAGTCTGTTCTGGGCAAAACCGTATTTCAGAAGCAGAACATGTCAGACCCCCGTAGCCTTCTCTGCATGGGCACTGCCCTGTGAACTGCAGCAAGAGAGGTGGGGAGAAAGAGAGAGACAAGCAGTCAGAAATTTCTTCAACACAATGCCACAGGACTGGCTTTACTAATTTGGAGGACAACTGACTAGACCAGAAGATGTTCCAAATCCGACCACAAAACAAGTGGACTACTCTATCCCTTCCAAGAAGACTGGCTGATGTGAAGGATTCCAGGCAACCTGCTGCTTCAAACATCAGGCTGAGATGCCTGCCTATGGGCGTTAAACTCACAATAAGCACTTCAGCTTGCAGGGCATGGGTGCCCTTTCTTCATATACTGTCTCCTAGGAACACTGTAGTAAAGCCAGCTGCAAAGCCCAGTAGGAGACATTATGCCAAGATACGGTGGAGGAGACTGCAGTTCCCAGAACATACATCAGGCAGAGCGCCTGGTGCAGGACTTGTTGGAATGTTCCCACTTCTTTAAAATAATACCATTCCCTATACATACACAAAACAAACCTAGTCTATATAGGCTCAGCTTTTGTATACTTAGAGATTTTTACTCATGGGAAAGCGTTTAAATATACGACACAACTGTTGCCAAGATGTAGACAACCTAAGTCAGGTAGAAGGTTCTGCTGAAGCAGCTTTTCTTCCCCACAGCCATGTGCAGCCCTTAATGGGCCAAACGCAGCCCTCCCCCCAAGCTATTTTGGCTCAGAAAAATAGCAGGGGGGGGGAGGCAGAGGTCCTTCCTACCCACACTGTGGTGTGAATCCAGATTGTGGCCCTGTGACAAATTGGGCCCTGTGGCTCCTTGCAGTCACGTTAGTCCATGAACTGTGGTTCTCCCGAACTGACTTCTCATCTAGTTCAGACTGGTACAATCTAAGAAAAACTTTCCCACTTGATTCTGTGTAATACATAAACTAGCTTCAATAGTTGTTGTAGAACAAAATTACTTTTCCCACTATCCATAAGACTGGAATGAGGCCCTGACAAGGATACCACAAATAGCAGCTGGCCAGAAATGTACTTCTGCTGGGCCCACACTCATGCATGGATGCCACCTCACAGCTTCCTCTTCACAGTCAATACCTCATTACATTGAGGACTGAGGGAATTCCGAGGGTCACAGTTGCAAGGCTGGCAGCCATCACCACTAGCAATTTTCCAGTGATTCGCAGCACATTTATCACACTTGTCCCCCACCACGTTGGGGAGGCAGAAGCAGCGTCCCGTCTCATCATCACAGGGTACCTTGTGGCTGCCTAAGATGTTGCAGGCACAATCTGGAAGACAAAGAAGCCGTTAGTCTTTTCAGGCCAGGGGGCAGTTATGACTGGTTCTTTTAGACGATATCGCAGGAGGTATCAAAGACATTTTACACATTATGCACAATGAGGAGGTAGGCCAGGGAGCCAGAATTATAGATTGTGCCTCTGTAGATTACGGTGATGGTCATCTAAAAGAATCCTTGTGAAAGATAGCAATATTAAATCCTTCTGCCTGTTGGGACCATTATCTAAATAGAAGGATATTGTTTCTCAATGCAGAAGCATTTAAAAACATGACACACACAAACACCTCATTGTCTGCAATCTAGGATTGAATCATCTCTGTCTATCACTATGCTCTGTGTAATGTTTTTGAACAGCTCAAAGGCTTTTTATGGTATTTTGACAGGGAAACTGTTCCTGTGCAGCTCCTTCCTTTGCCACTCAGCTAACATGAGAATGGAGGACCTAATGGATGTGCCTCTTTCCCACATCAATTTCTGGAAGGAGCGGCCTTCTGCCAGGTGACCCAAGGTTTCTAACTTTACCCAAGTGCCATAGGAAGAGGCAGCTCCCATGTCACCAACATAATATTGGTGGACTGTCTGGATTACTTCAAAAATTTAGTTTTCTGAAGTATACCTTGCTTTGAAGAGGCCATCAGCACAGGAAATGGAAGTAGAGCTGATATGTACTGAAATGTGGGTTGAGCCAGAATAGAGAGGGGATATTTGGAGGGGAAATCTGCCCCCTATAAAATATGCACCATTTGGGTGACAATTTATGGGGCCAGTGTAACAAGATGAAAATTTCTCCTGTTTGATGTTATGGCATTATCAAGAAGCCAAATTTGATTGACTGAATGGCACTACAGTATCATCAAGCCAGCTACATCTTTCTTGAGCAGCTGAATCACAGTCAGCAAGAACTGGGGGTTTTTTAAGGAAAATATGCCCAAGGCAGCTTCTGGCACCAAAGAGGTACTAAATAGAGCAAAATGGATTCTCAGTTTTTAGCACGGAAATGTTTGCCCACACACAACAACTGGGCTAAAGTCCCTGCAAATATCCTTGCAAAGGGAGAAGGGTATATGCATCACACTTCTGATAATAGAATTGGTGGGCTGTTTTGTTAGTAAAGATTTTACTATTGCTGTTATCCTCTGTAGTTCTTCAAAAATTAACTAAGTACCCACTGCCACCTGCTGGAGAGCAGCTGAAATCCATCCACATATATATTGCAAGGAGTACACATCAATCCAAAAGCATTTGCCCCTGAAATCACTAGTGCTGGACAGATATGGATCCATCCAGGATATGTTTTATGAGATGAAGCTTAGTTGAGCCTGTATTCCCCAAAGTTCTCAGCATCTGAATTACAGAGGATGAGGATTAAGTTGTACAAATCTAGGGAGGAATATAACAAGTTTTATCTCCTTCCACATGCCTAGGGGGAAACTATATAAATAATTATTTTTCTTTAAATCATACTGCAATATATGTTCACTAGGAATAAGGCCTGTTGTGGAAATAAATACAACGAGATCTAGAAAGAGGCTCTGGGAGAGTGCTCTGGCTTTGGGCAAACAGTGTCAATTTGCTGTGGCGACCTCAGCAGGGTATAATGACAGAGTCCACTATTTTCTCCAGAGGAACTGATCTCTGCTACCTGAAGAGCAGTTGTAATTTTGAGTGATCTCTAGCCCTCACCTGGAGATTGGCAACAATTGTTACCCAGGACAAAATGGCTGGTTTG